GTACAGCACACTAAGGACAAAGATCCTACATGAGGAGTAAGTGCACAGTGACTCCTGTTGTTGACTTAACAAATTGACACTCTTGTTTATGGCATCAGTAATCACCCTAGGCTCTTGCCATGAGCTGCCAAGGCTATGGAAGCCCCCTGAGTTCACCGACTCTGATCATATTTAGACAAGGCCATGGTCAAAGTGGAAGTTCTCTCCTCCCTTCAGAGAAAGGTACCTCCTTCTTTGATGACCTGTTCTTTCCACTGGGATCTCACTCACAGAGATCTTTCATTTAGTTTTTTTTTCCCCCACAGTGTCTTGGCTTTCCATGCCTGAAATACTCTAATGAGCTTTTCAGCCGGATCCGCATGCTGTAAGGGCTGACTCTGAGGCCAGAGTGCTGTTTAGGACATCTGCCATTCTATGGGTCTGCTGTGTATCTCACTTCCCATGTTGGATCGTTCTCTACCTTTTTTATTCTATCAGTCACTATTCTTGTTTATATGATTGCTTTGGTTCTTAGTCCTATCATTATGATCAATTGTGAACAGAAATTGATCACTGGGACTAGTGAGATGGCATTGGTACATGCCACTTTGATGGGATTGAATTCGAATCCCCTGGTATGTTTCTAACTCTACTGTTTGAGGTAAGTCAGCTTGAACATGTCCCGAATTGCACATCTCTTCCCTCTCTTATTCCCACTCTTACATTTAACAGCGATCACTTTTCAGTTAAGTTTCAGCACTTAAGAAGAATTGTGTACTGATTACAGTATTCAACCAAAAGTATTAAGTAGAACAAACAAAAAAAATACTAAGAGGGATAACATATTAAGTTGCTCATCAACAGTCAGGGCAAGGGCTGATCAAGTCACCATTTCTCATAGTGTTCATTTCACTTTAACAGGTTTCCTTTTTGGTGCTCAGTTAGTTGTCACCAATCAGGGAGAACAAGTGGTATTTGTCCCTTTGGGATTGGCTTATTTCACTCAGCATAATGTTTTCCAAATTCCTAACAGGGATCACTTTTCAGTTAAAATTTAAACACCTAAGAATAATTGTGTGTTAATTACAGAGTTCAACCAATGGTACTAGAACAAAAAAAAAAATACTAAAATGGATAAAGTATTACATTGTACATCAACCGACAGGACAAGAGCTGATCAAGTCACTGTTTCTCATAGTGTCCATTTCACTTCAACAAGTTTCCCCTTTGGTGCTCAGTTGTCGCCGATCAGGGAGAACATATGATATTTGTCCCTTTGGGACTGGCTTCATTCACTCAGCATGATGTTTTCCAAATTCCTCCATCTTGTTGCAAATGACCGGGTTTCATTGTTTTTGACTGCTGTATAGTATTCGATAGAGTACATGTCCCATAATTTCTTTATCCAGTCTACTGTTGATGGGCATTTGGGTTGGTTCCAGGTTTTAGCTATTGTGAATTGAGCTGCAGTAAACATTAATGTGCAGACAGCATGAAGTACCCTCAAATTAACCAGGCAGATACTCCCAAGTATTTGGAAGAAGTCATTTAATTGGCCATTATATTTTTGGCAGAGAATTGATTAAGATAGTAATAATAGGGGCTGGTGCTGTGGGTAGAGACGCTGCCTGCAGTGCTGGCATCCCACCTTAGTGCCAGTTAGGGTCCTGGCTGCTCCACTTCTGATCCAGCTCTCTGATATGGCCTGGGAAAGCAGTGGAAGATGGCCCAAGTCCTTAGAACCCTGTACCCACATGAGAGACACTGAAGAAACTCCTGGTTTCTGGCTCTGGATTGGCGCAGCTCTGGCTGTTGTTGCCATCTGGGAAGTGAGGCAGTGGGTGGAGGACTTCTCTTTCTTTCTCTGTCTCTCTCTGCCATGCCTCTCTGTAACTCTTCCTTTCAAATAAATAAATCTTTTTTTTAAAGATAGTAATAATACCCTGTGAACATCTACTCACATGGGAGGCACTGGGGCATCCCTTTTTATTAAGCGTTATAATCACCATGGTGAGGTACGAGGTATCACTCCTCATTCAGATGAGAACAAACATTTTGACAGATGGTCAACCTCTACTTATCTAGGAAGGGGAAATTCTTGGCTTCACAAAACTTTCTGGACCACATATGATGGCTCTGATTGCTTACTTAGCCCTGTCAATATGAAGTTGCTTAAAATTACTATGCACTTGACCTTGGCATTTACTAAATCGCTTTTCACACAAGAGAACTTGCAATGTTTCAATGCTAACAGTGAATGTAGCTGCCATTTGTTTATATTGGTAAGGGGCCAACGTTGGTTCTCAGTATAGTTCTTGCTGTTATTACCTCATTTATGCACAATGACCTTAAGAGGTGGTTGCTATTATTTTGTACATTTTATATATGAGGTGTCTGAAGCCTGTAGCTATTAAGTTTTGAGGCTAAGACATTCCCTTCTCATCTGCTTGTACATATCTGCTGACTTTAGAACTGTTCTCTTTAGACAGGTGCCCCAGGGCAGAAGAGTGATGCTAGTCAATAGGATTATTGCAGAAAATGTCATTTTAAACAGAAAGCAGATGGTTAAATTCCATTGTAAAACTTGGCAAAGTTTTCAGTTTTATACAGCATGTGAGTTGGAACAAGGAATATTTAGATTGAAATCTTGCAAACATTATTATATCACCAAACCTATTTATCAACATCTGCTGATGTTATAGAGGCTGGCCATAAAAAGCTAATGGTAGAAGCCATGTTGTGTGCAAATTTCCTTTAGGCTCTCTTCTACATGTCCTCTGTTGTGTTTCGAGTTAAACGCCCAAAGATTCATGTTTAGGTCCTTAGCTCCAGTACCTTTGAATAACCTTTTTTGGAAATAGAATATTTGCAGATGTATTCAAGTTAGGATGAAATTATTGGGGTGAATCCTACGATAATGTAACTAGTGTCCCTTTAAAAAAAGAAAAGTGCTGTGTCAAGAAAGATACAGGGAGAATTCCATGAGACAACAAAGCAAGGATTAATGCCCATCCCAGAAGCTAGCAAGAGAAAGGAAGGAGTCTGCCCAAAATCAGATTGAGAGAGACAAAAAGAGAGAGAAAGAGAAAGGCCTTCCTGACATCTTGATTTTAGACAACCCACCAACATCCACAAAGTGGGTGAAGAGATTGTGTTGTTTTAAGCCCAGTTTGTGGTACTTTGTTACTGCAGCACTAGGAAGCTATTATGGATTATGTCTTGTTCATGTCTAAGGATTTGATAATTATCTCAAAGACTGGAAACTTGTTTGATTGTGTAGACAATTTAATTCTGTTAATTCCTTCTAAGGTTTCCAAACTTCAATGTGAAGAATTGTTTTATGTACAAAACTGTATATATGCATTCTTAGGTTTTGTAGAGGATTCCTTGTGAATAATTTTCAATAAATGCAATTGTCTTCTTCTTTGATCATTCGGAACACAACTTTTATCATTTCTATGGTGTTTCTCTTTGCTTCCTGCCCCTGGGCATTTTTTCTTAGAGTATTTTGCTAGACTCCCCCGGCAACTATGAGGCTAGTGTGGTGGATTCCTGTCTCCCTTAACGTGGGGTACATGTTAAGTATTTGTGATTCTTCAGTCAGAATGTTATTAAAACAGTGATGTCTTTGGATTGTATAAATTTTTAAAGAATAATAATACTATATGGTGGGGGCTGATAATGAAATTTACTAGTAATTATTGGATTTCTTCCCATGTACTAGGCATTATTTGAAATTCTTGGGACCAGAAGTGCTTCAGATTTCGGAGTGTTTGGATTTTGGAATATTTACATACACTTTATTAGTTGAAAATATCTAATCCAGAAGTTTGAAATCTGAAATACTCCCAAATCTGTAACTTTCTGAGTGCTAACATGATGCCCTCTGATTTCTGGGATAGGGATGCCCAGTCTATATTCTGGTTCCTTAAACTTGCATATTGTACTTTTGTCAGTGACATCTAATTTTGCTTGTTGATGCAGCCACATAGCAGTTATTAAATTGAAATCTCACATCCTTTTTTTTTTCATATTTTTATTACATTTGGACCTTTAAGAAACATATAGCATCAGATATACTGCTATTCAGTAAAAATCTATTCTAGTTTTTGGGAAGTATATGCGTCACAAACTATCTTGCTTCTAGTCTCCAAGACTTTACGAAGTTTATCAAAAAGGCAGGCTCTAATCTATGGGATCCTGAGCCTTGAGGTTCTGAATGTTTTCATTATTGTTAAGACAATTTCAAGCGGATAAACTTAATTCTGAGCTGTTTTTCCTCTGGAATGGGCTCATCAGTATAAAGTTATTTAGTCCACCACAAGAATACATACACTCAACCCATTAAGCTCTGTGATCTACTGTGTCTTTGGAAAACCTGGTTTAAAAAAAAAAGGTAATTTTCCCCCTATACAATAAGGATAAATTTACCAGAACATATCCAATATCAATTATATAAAAAAAGACAGTGTGTGTGCTGTGTCCACTGCAACGACTACTTCAGGAGCTGGGAGCTACTCCAACCCTGGGAGCTTCCTGGGATCAACACGACCCATGTGCAGTCAGCTGCAGGCTGCACGCCACTCCTTCACACACACCTGGAGTCGGACGTCGATTAAATATAAAAAGGGTGAGAACAAATACACACAGACCCATGATCGCATCAAGAAGCTGCTCTCTGCAGAAGTACACGAGAGGGGGCTTTCGGGAGGCTGCTGCCAGGACCGAGAGGGTTAAAGCTATGGCTTAGGGAAGCACCCAAGTGAGCTGTAGGAAGGCATTTGTAGAGTAGACTCTGCAGCATCAAAGGATGATTTTCTAAAGGAGGCGAATGCTTTCTCAGTTAACCTAAATTCTGAGGCTTTCCGTAGTTGAGGGCTAGAAACAAGATCCAAAGAAAAGAGCCATGTTCAACGTCTAAGGAAGGTGACTGCCGTTAGGCTCATGATGCTAAATGGTCCAAAAAGCCTTTGGTGGTGTGATATGGACAAGGAAAAAAATACACAAACCACATAACACCATTAAAACCAAAAAACATTTTTTTTTCATTTAAAAAAGTATTTAGAACACATAAAACAAGGCAACATCTATTCTTTTTTCTCATCTTCCGGTATGGGGTCTGTCGGCGGCTCCTCCACCGTGGCACTGTTGCTCTCCGAGCCGGTGTTACTGTCACTGTTTCCTTCCTCGGCCAGACTGTCGACCCCCTCCTGCCCACTCTCCTTGTCCTCGGGAGTGGACGTGCCTTCCTCGCCATTCTGCTGGCTCTCTGTCGTTTCTTCCAGGTGCGTCTCCTCCGTCTCCATTGGAATGCTCTCGTCGTCCTTCTTGTCCTCGGCTTTGCTGGCCGCGTGCTCCTCCTTGGGAATGCCGCTGCCCTGGGCGCGCTCCGCTTGCTCCGCTGCCTCCTTCTCCCTCTCCTCTTGCCTTTTGCGGGCCTGCTCCTCCGCCTGCGCGATTTCAGCTGCGATCTTCTCCATATCCACTTCTACCTTCAAACCGCACAACCTTTTAAGTTCATTGTTAAAAGAATCTGTGCTCTCCAGGAACTTCCTCTTCTTTTCCTGGTGTCGCTCCTCTATTTGAAGAAGCTCAGCTTCTAGTTTTCGCTGATGGACCATTAAGGACTGGACCTGTCGTTTAAGGACCTGCATCCTAGCTGTCGTGACCACTGACCGGACGTCGGGCACCACACTCTCACTAAGGATCTCACTGATGAGGCGGTGGTTTCTCTGGAACCGGGCTGTGGCTGTGTGCTTCATTGAAAAGCCATCATCATAATCGTCTGGGTCCTCTGCAGGCTGGATGCTCATGTAAGGCTCCCCCTTCTCCATGCGAGACTGTCTCTGCCGACTCTCCTCCTCTAAGGCAGCTTCTGCACGGCTCTTCGCATTGATGTAAGCCAGGTACGCGGGGGAGTTGTGATAGGCCTTCATGGATTCATTGTACTCTATCTTTTCTGCTTCGTATTCGTTTAAATATTCTTGTTTCTCTTCATCAGTGAGATCTCGCCACATGCCACCAATAATCTTTCCAATCTCCCACAACTTCAGGTCAGGGTTGGAAGCCTTTACTTGGTCCCAGACCTTTCGGCTGTACCTCATGTAGGGCATCAGCAGCTTATCTGGTGGCTTTGGGGGCTTTGGAATCGTAATACCAGAGGATGCCGTGACCCGGCTGTTGGTGCCCGGGTTCCCTCCCAGCCTGTAGTTGTTGTAGGCGAGATGACTGTATGGATTGTATCCCACAAACCCTGGTGTGCTGGGCATTTGTGTTGCAGGAGCTGGGGTGGGAGGTGGGGCATAAGATGGTCTTTTTGACATTTTGGAAGATTAAGTTCTCAGTTCCTTAAGAATGAATCTGAGACACCGCGGGCAGAAAAAGTGCCCGCAGCTCCGGCTTCGCTTCCCTTTGTCCCGCCCCCCCCCCCTTTTTTTTAATGTATAGCTCCTAAATCCTATTTACTTCATCCAGTATCATTTAAAAAACTTGACTATAGGATGTTAAATTGCTGCTACTAAATTTTATTTTGTTTTCTCAATCTCTTTTACATTTATTTTCTCTGTGTTTTATTGAAATAGTCAATTTTTGTGACAGCAATTTCCCTGTTACTTGTATCATCTAAAATACAAGGAATTTTACCATTTTAAAAATAGTGATTGGGACAGGTGTTTAGTCTAGTGGTTAAGATGCCTCTGTCCTATATTAGAGTGCCTGGGTTTGAGTCCCGCCTCCAGCTCCCCATACCAGCTTCCTCCTAATGCAAACCTTGGTTAAGTAGTTGGGCAGCTGCCATCCACGTGGGAGATCTGGATTGCTTTCTCATTTCCCAGCTTTAGCTCCAGCCCAGGCTTAGTTGTTGGGGGCTTTTGGGGAGTGAACCAGAAGATGGGAGCTTTCTATGTCTCTCTGCCTTTCTTTGTTTCTCAAATAAAAATTTATTAAAATATATTCATTAAAGGTTTAGTCCCCTTGATTTTTATTCCTTTCACTTTGTGATATGTGTATGCCTTCAGGCCTGACTGGGTGCTCTGTCTTCCATCTATTTGTGTGGTGGTTGTTGTGGATTTATGTGTTATCAAATACTTTGCCTTCTTTGAATGCTGCCTTTTCTTTATTTTTCTTGAGAAGTATCTGTGATTCTTCAGTAAGAATGTAATAATTACCGGATATCTTCTCATGCACTAGGAATTAACATTAAAAAATGTGCGGAGGTGAATGTCACATAACATAAAGTGAACCATTTTAAAGTAACACTATAATGACTACATTCACAATGTTATGGGATCACCACTCTGTGCAGTCCCAAATTTCCGTCATTCCAAAGTAAAACCATCTGCATTCTGTCTCTATGTATTTATCTATTCTAGAGATACTATTTAATATAAATGGAATCCTACAGCATTTTGTGTCAGCTTCTTTTGATTATTATAAGTTTTGGAGGTTCACCCACACTGTGGCATATATCAGTACTTTGTCCCTTTTTATGACTGAGTAATATTCCATTGTGTGTCTGTAAAGTCCTTCATGTGGTGAGAACCTTTTGTACTGTTTGCAGTGTTGGGTTATTGTGAATTGTGCTACCATGGACATGCATATATACAAACTTTCTTTCAGATTGTCTTATAAACCGCACAATTTACAGTTTAAAAAATCAGATCGGCAGGCACCGTGGCTCACTTGGCTAATCCTCTGCCTGTGGCGCCGGCACTCTGGGTTCTAGTCCTGGTTGGGGTGCCGGGTACTAGTCCCGGTTGCTCCTCTTCCAGTCCAGCTCTCTGCTGTGGCAGAGGAGGGTGGCCCAAGTGCTTGGGTCCCTGCACCTGCATGGGAGACCGGAAGGAAGTACCCGGCTCCTGGCTTCAGATCGGCGCAGCGCCAGCTGTAGCAACCATTAGGGGAGCGAACCAATGGAAGGATGACCTTTCTTTCTCACTGTCTATAACTCTGTCTCTCTCACGGTCTAACTTTGCCTGGAAAAAAAAAAATCATATCACTGTTTTTCCATGAACCATTTATTGGCTGACTATGCAATTCATAAAGCTTCTTACACAGAAAGTCCTTGCTATTTTCAGGGCCTGTTTTCCTTTCCTGTGGATTATATTCTAGTTTCAGACATTGTCTGGTCGGGTTAATGTATCATCACTGTCATCATCTTCTTGATGTTCATGATAGTAGCTATCATTTGAGGGTCTAACATATGGTATATACTATTATTATGCCCATTTTATAGATGGGAGAACTGATGCTTATAAAACTTAAAATACTTTCTTCAAGTTATACAGCAATAAGTGATAGAGCTGGGACTAAAACCTAAGTTTTTATATTTCCAAAGCTTGTTATATGATGCCATGTGCCAGAATTTCCTTTCATACTTTTTAGCTATTGATTAACAATAAATCATCAGCCCTGAAATCAATTTGGCAAGTCACAACATTAAAATACTGAAATGGAGTGGATAGGAAATAGATCATGCAGTAAACTTTCATTTTGATTATTTGTGTGTGTACGTATGTGTGTATAACTGCATTGAGTCATGATGCTAAACATTTCTTTTTAAAATTTATTTGAAAGGCAAAGAGAGAGAGTAAGGGAGAGAGAGATCAATTGAACTTCTGTTTTCTGGTTCACTCCCCAAAATGGTCACAATGTTTGGGCTGGGCCAAGTTGAAGACAACAGACAGGAGCTCCATCTGGGTCTCTCACGTGGGTGGTCAAGGTCCAAGTACTTAGACCTTCCCAGGAGAATTAGCAAGGAACTGGACTGGGAAGTGGAGCAGCTGTGGTTTGAACTGGCTCTCCATTAAGGGATGCCAGTGTTGAAGGTGGCAGCTGAGCTCACTGAGCCACAACGTTGGCCCCTAAATGTATTTATTATTGTGAGTAAGTCAAAAAAACGTGGGCAACTCTGTTCTGAGCTACTCATATGTTCACTTTTTTCCCCCAAGTTTAAACTTTGATGTGGCTAAAAAGTTCCTGTTGGTTTCTGCATTCTTAAATTGTAAATATTTCTCTCCAAGTTAACAATCACAGAATCTTTGAAGGACAGTTTTTGTTTGGTTCCTCCTCACAGACGTCACTGACTGACTCTATAGGCTTTTTACAAAAGTTGGTTGGTGAGCGCTGAATGTTTTTGAAGTTCTGTTCACAGCCTGCAAGTGCAGAGTTCCCCTTAGTAATAACTTAATAAAGTGACAGAAAGTACACATTTAATAAGCACTTTAATAGGTGAGAGCCCACACTGGTGTCATTCTACCCAGACAGACCAGTTGTGCCTTTTTGTCATTCCTTGGTGCCCACATCAGACGGGCTGGGCCTATGGTGGAGACAGGGAGGAAGACATCTTCCCTGCTGGTCATGACAGGCCTGAGTCCAGCACAGAGCACGGGGCTCCCAGCAACCTCTGCAGAGGGCCCTGTGGATATGCAGACAACAGTTTGACTTGGCACATGTCAGGTTTTCTTCACGTCAGTAGCTATCCGCAGCATCTCTCAAGGGACACTTTCAAAAGAGTTTGAAATGTGTTCCTTAAGACACAGATTTTTATTAATCATGAGAATATATTAAAATTGCTAAATTATTGGTGGAAAGGTCCAAAAGTGGCCTTTTAGTAAACTAAAGTGAATTATAACTTACATCTGCAAAATAGAATTAAAGTTCTTAATTTTTATATGTTTATTTTAGATGTAAGAATCCAGTCTCATTAAAATGATACATAAAAACACATGTGACATATTCAAGGAAACCTTTTACGAAAACAACTTTATATGTTTTATTTAAAAGTATTTAATTGACAAGTAAGGATTTTAAGATTTATATACACATACATTTTTTAATGATTATCATCTAATTAGGATATCCAACATGACTGCGCTATATATTAGATCCTAAGAAGTCATTCTTTTTATAACTTAACATTTTTACCTTTTGACTCACATTGTCCCATTTCTCCCAGCTCTGAGCTCTGTTATCCACTATTCTCTCTGCCTCAGTGAGTTTGATTTTTCTACATGAAAGTGAGATTATATAGTGTTTGTGTTGTGTTTGGCTTATGTCTTAGTTTGCTGCTGCTGTTCCAAATACCTGAGACTGGGTCATTCATAGTGAACAGAAATTTATTTCTCATTGTTCTGGAAACTGGGAAGTCTTAAGAGCATGGCATTGACATTTGGAAGGACCTTCTTGGTACATCATCATACGGTGAGACAGAGTAAGTGTGTTGGCTTACACCTCTCTTCCTTTCCTTCAAAAGCCACTAATGCCAGGGCTGGCACTGTGGTGTAGCAGGTAAAGCTACTACCTGCAGTGCCAGCATCCCATGTGGGCACCAGTTCGAGTCCCGGCTGCTCCACTTCCAATGCAGCTCTCTGCTATGGCCTGGGAAAGCAGTGGAAGCTGGCTCAAGTGCTTGGGCCTCTGCTCCCACATGGGAGACCCGGAAGAAAGCTCCAGGTTCCTGGCTTTGGATTGGCCCAACTCTGGTCATTGGGGCCATTTGAGGAGTGAACCAGTGGATGAAAGACCTCTCTCTCTCCCCCCTTCTCTCTGCCTCTCTGTAAATCTGTCACTCAAATAAATAAATCTTTTTTTTAAAAAAGCCACTAATGCCATCATAGGGCCCCCACTCTTGCGGCCTCATCTAATGCTAAGTATCTCCCAAATTTCATTAATATATGACCTTGGTAGTTATGCTTTCAACACGTGAATTTTGAGGGGACACAATGAAACAATAGCTCATTTCACTTAGCACAGTGTCCTTCAGGTTGTCACAAATTACAAAATTTCATTCCCTTTTTATGACCAAGATTCCATTGTGCATATGTACTCTGTATTTTAAACAATGCATTTATCCATTCATGTACACTTAGGTTGTTTCTATATCTTGGCTGTTGTGAATAATTATTCAGTGAACATGAGAGTATAGATATCTTTTCATGATTCTAATTAAAATTAATTTAAACATTTAAAAAATTAGAGATTACCTATTTGCTGGCTAACTCTCCAAATGACAATAGCAAATATGGGCTGAGCCGAAGCTGGGAGCTGAGAACTCAGTTCTGGTGTCCCATGTGGGTTGCAGGGATGCAACACTTGAGACGTTACCTGCTGCCTTCCAGTATCTGCATTGACAGGAAGCTGGAATTGGGAGCCATGGCCAGGGAGCAAACCTAGGCACTCTGATACAGGATGTGGACATCTTAACTGTTAGGTTAAATGCTTGTTTTTCAAACTAATTTTAGTATATGGCACAAGATACAGGTTCAGTTTTATTTCTATTCATGTGAATGTCTTTCTGTATCACACAGAAGCCATCTATAGTCTGAAGAGTGTTGAAAAATTCAGTTTCCTAGGATTTCAAGCCTAAGAGGGTATGGGTGTTACCTTGTTCCCAATTCCCAGACTTGTCTGATGTGTGAGTGTTTTC